AACTCCTAACAAGAACTTTGCGTACAGTCAGGACAAAAGCTTCCCTTGGTTCTTTTGTAATAGCAGCCAGAATAGTCATGCCTATAGTAAACCTCTGACGATCTTTAGCTGGACAGTTAAAGGCTATGAAACTGGTTGTTCCAGCCTGAAAGCCCAGGCTATGCATCCCCCCAAATTCACTTTATCATCATAATGTAGCTTCTGGTTTTTCACCATATCAGTCTAAATACCGATAAAATTACTTCCACTTATTCGTGGCAGTATACTGAGTTGAGCAGCATATAGAGGCATCAGCAACCAAACTGGTATAGAGCTTAATCTGAATCATGTTGTTTGCATATTGCCATGATGCAGCAAAGAGGAAAAATGCTATCACTTGTTGGTATTATTTGACAGAAGCTTTAGGGAACGCTCTGTCCACCTGCTTTCTTCAACTCCATACATATTATGTGGAGTTAAAATAGTTGGAACGGTATGAGTTTATTTTTATCAGCCTTTCCTTAAAAGTCCAGGATGATTAACCAGTTCAAATTCAATAAAATAATCAGAGATCAAAAGCTACAATAACAAGAGGAAGAAACAAAATTAATAAAAATAGAAGCCACAGGCAGAAACAATTAAGATTGCATAAAATCTTGATCTTAGCGGTTTTCAGTACCATTGACCATTAGATCCTTCTGGCCCACCTGTGGGAATTAGAAGTGGGAGGCATGGCATTGAGGTGACTCTCCTCCTTTCTCTGTGATCAGGACCAGTCGCAGTTGGCAAGAGCAGAGCAATAGAGCCTGAGGCCCCTGTCTGTGGGATACTGTAGAGAGTAAGGAAGATGACCTTGACAGAGATAGGCCAGATCCATTACCAAAGTGACAAGGGGAAAAAGATGACTTAAGTCCAAAACAAGAAGGTATGCCCCTCCCCTGCCCCACCTTTACAGTTCTAGAAACTGGAAGGGTCCCTTCTGAGACGTTTGCCATGTCCACATTCCTTTTGCAGACTCAGCTGTTGCTTGTCTTTCTGTTGTCTAGTCTGAGGCTCTTCCACCTGTCTTCCAAGGTCATTCCCATACACCATTACATCACCTCCCTAATTCACAAGAGTATGGGGGCGGGGGCAGGAGAATTAAAGCACGGTCAGACTTGCAAGATTCTATTACTATTGCCAATACTAATAAAAGTAGTTTGAGACTTCTTGTGGAGTTGATTTCTTGGCTTGTCTACATAGTGAGGCTGACAGGTACCTCAGGGCTCCACACTCTTGAACCTTCTGTTTCACATCTCCATGAGGCTGCTGGATGAGATCATCCATCTGTTTTGAATCAGACGTCATCAATATGTGGATGATACCCAATTAGACATTTCAACCCCATACTAATGAGGTCATGCTATCAAGGTCTTTTCTAAATACCTGGAGGCTGTGGGGGACTGGATGAGGAGGAACAGACTTAAATTCAACCCTGACAAGACTGACTGGCTGTGGGTTTTGGATCCTCTCCCCCGGCCCCAACCCCAGACTCAAGGATGTTTCATCTTTAGTCCTGAAAGGGATTATACTTTCCCCTTTATGACTAGCATGCAATTTCCATTCTTAGACTCATCACTCCTACTCGAGGAGGTAGCAGCTGTAGCTAAAAGGCCTTCACGCAAATACATATTGTGCACCAATTATCCCCTTACCTGCACTTGGAAGCTGCAACTTGTCCAGAACGTGGCAGCCCAGAGCATATCTTGTCAGGCCCATGTAACACCTTTGCTCTGTGACCTGCACTGGTTACCAGTAGGCTTCTGGGTACAATTCAAGGTGCTAGTTATTACTTATAAAGACCTTCATGGCATAGGATCTGGTTATCTAAAGGCCTGTCTTCTGTGGCTTCACCGATCTGTATGATTGGGCAGAACTGGCATGCTCCAGGTCCATTAAGCGGTGTCACCTGATGGAACTTAGGAAATATGCCTTCTCAACAGTAGCAGCTCCCCTCTGGAATACCATCTCCCCAATATATGTCTGGCTCTCATCCTGGCTGTGTTCAAAATTGCTCTGAAAACCAGGCCTTGGGTTAGATTGGATGGCAATTGCATGCTCATTGTGTTTTAATGGTCTTTTTTCTTCTGGCATTTGTTTTTTTTTTAACTGTATTACAGTATATTATTGTTTTCACTTTACCACCCAGAGTTGTAAAGTTGGACAGCCTTATAAATGAATTTAAAAAATGGTTCACATAAACAGCTTTCCAAGTAGATGTGTAAACCCTTTACATGATGGGAGTAATCCTCAAGATTTCTTGGTCAATCAGAAATCCAACAACACTGGGGAAGGAGGCAAAAAACTACTATAGACAAAAGAACTCACCATTTTGCTCCTCATAATGAGTGAAAACTTGTGCTCTAGTTCATATACTTTTTTTGCAGTGAAGAAAAATATATTTGCCCAAAACCAGCTTGAAATATATAACTAGGCTTGAGAGGCAAGAATGCTAGCTACATTTGACTAAGAACAGCAAGGCAGTCTGAATGCTGCATGTGAAAGTGAAATGAGCAAAGTATGGTGTGGGAGAAACTTTTTTTTAGAATTTTTAAAAACATATTGGAAGGTACTTTTTTCTCTAGAGTTCTAATTTAAAGATCAAGAGGCATCAAAAAGGAGTGTAGGAGCCTTGAAATTGCCTATCAGCTGTTTGCCTTTACATAAGTCTCCAACTATAGCCTTCCCTAATATATTGTTTATTATTGTATTTCAACTTGAATTGTAGAACAGAAACATTTTCCTGTCATGCTGTTTCTTTCACAAGACATACCATCAAATTTATTTGCTGTGGAAATAAAGCTTATATCCCCATTCATTCTTTATCAATGGAGCCAATAGCATTAGGGGAAGAGGTGAGCAGGGGAAATTTTTAATTGCACCAGGATAAAACATCAAAAGTTTCTCTGTAGTTATTTGCCAAATTGTACAGGAAAATGTATTAATACCTGTTGGTTTTAAAATTAAGTTTTATTCCAAGATTAGTTAATCTATCCTATTTTAGTTCAGTGGAAATCTAAGAACCCTGAGATTTGGAAATACGGGTTTCCAAACTGATTATCTGCTTCTGGAAGTACTTCAGACTCTGACGTCGTTCGCAGAACCTGCATCTACAAGTTTCCTCCACCACCCTTACTGGGTGCTGTAGCTTTTTAGAACTGCTTTATGGTATTTATTTATTTTTATTTATTAAACAAATTTATATGGCCACCCAACTCACACATGGTGACTCTGGGCACCTTACAGAATTAAAACCCATGATAAAAAAAACCAAGAAACCCCCCCAACACCTCTGGCAGCAACCAATGCACTCAGACTAACCATTTGATCAGCTCCGTATATGAAATGACGTTCTATATTAACTGCCATATTGTAATTGCTTTGTAGGTTTATATGCGCACACATGAAAAGATAGAAAATTGTTGAGTTAGGGCTGTAATTTGAATGAAAGCCTGACATATGTTTCTGTTTACTTGTACTGTACTACAGTTTACCAGTACTACTAATCAGTACTATTACAGTTTACGAGTACTACAGTTTATTAATATTATTACTATATTATTACTGAGTAACTTCAACAACTCTGTTTTTGGCTTCAGAGACTTGCAATTTAAAATTTGCTACAGGAGAGACCAACATTATTTCTCACAAGATTTTTATTGTCCAATTTTCCTGTTTCACACAAAGGATTTCACTGTGGCTAGGGGACACAAGTATTGCTCTTTTACTTTGCTCATATTTTCAACACATTATTCTAGTTTAATACAACTTTGCAAACACAATGGAAAACTGTTAAGAAGGAAGACTGAATAGCGCTCCAAGTCTCTACCTTCTGTTAGAAATTATCTACCTAGAAGCACCTTTGCATAAAAAAGGCATGTTCATGCCATTACGTGCTTCGTATATGATACAAGCTGTCTATGCGTGGCAGGTTTTTTTGTGCCAAAGATTTCTGTGTACCAGTTAGTTTTGGGGAGGTTTTTCAAGGGAAAGTTGTGGAGGGAGAAAGGCAGCAACTGGAAAGCACACTCTGCATTGTTAGAGCTGTGTTTTATTTTTTGCGTCTTAGCGTGTAGTAGTGAGAACTCAGCCTTGTTCAGTAGGTTAGAGTATGTGAACTCAGAAAACTGGGTTGAGTTTAGCAATGGCAATGCTAATCCTGTGTTGAGCAAACAACCAGAGACCAAAAGAAGGCCATGTTTTTCTTCTGCCCCCACTCCCATAACTTATATATCCCATGAAAGATGTGTGTGTTGGATGAGGAGCATATTCCAAACAGCAGGAGCACCAAGGGAAAAAAACGTTAAAAAGTGTGAAGGTTTAAGATTGGGGTGATACAACACCCACTCGTTTACTGAACTGGCCCATTTTCTGGATTCGATCGATGCAAACAAGCTGAGCTCCCGCAACACCCAAGCCAGAAAAAAAACAAAACAAGTTTAAAACTGACCAAGGTTAGCTTGTTCGAATGCAGCACTCAGCTTTTTAAAAACTCCACCGGGTTAAGCAAATTGCGCCCATTCTGAAGACCAAAGAATTTGCGACAGCATCGCGGGCTGCAGTCAGAGACTCCTGAGGCTGAGAGAAAGTACATTCATTGGGTTGGAGGCGGGGCCCGCTCTGCTACAAAAGTGAATGTAAGAGTGTACGATTCCGGACGGGGAAGTGCGCGTGTGCGCGGTCGATGGCACTGTTTATGGGCCGAAGGTATAGTGTGCGAGTTGGGCTGGCGCGCTTTGGAGAGGGCTGATGGGGAAGCTGCGCCTCTCGATCGGGGGTGAGGTTGGCACGCGCAGCGCTCCCAAGGAAGGGAAAGCGGCCGCCGCCAAATGGCTCCCTCTACTTCGCTATCTGCGTGAAGCACCGCAGAGGCTGTGACTGGGGTGTTCGGCTAGTCGAACCGGCCCCCGCTTTCGGGCGGCAACGGAGGCGGGTCTGGTCGTGGGAGAGAGAGACAGCGAGAGGGAGAGGGAGGGAGGGAGGCGGGTCGCGAAGGCAGGAAGGGCTGTGGCTGGAACCGAGGCTGAGACGGGGGCAGGGCTGTGGGACCGAGCGAGGCCCGGAAAGCAAGGAGGACTCTGACTGCGGAGCCGGGCTGGGCCGTGCCGTGCCGGCCCAGGTAAGTGACCGGAGTTGTGAGTGAAAGAAGTGAGCAGGGCGACGAAAAACATACCCGCGCCGCGGCGGGGACACCGTGCCGCTTGCTTGTAGTGGGAACCAAATATCCTGCGAAGGAGAGGGGCGTATATTTCCTTTTTATCCTCCTCAGTAAATTAAAAGGCGTGCACGCGCCTTTACGAGCGGAACCCGAGAAGGCCGTTTAGCGCAATGTTAATATTTTAGTTCAGGCACGTGCAAAGCGCATTATGTTTACCTGGGAACAGTTAACCCGCGTGCGCGCGACGAACCCGTGTTTCCCTGTATGTGTGTGTCACTAAGGTACGTATGGTTGTAATCTTAACGTGATTGGCTCCCTGTGTGTATACGCAAATAGTGGTAAATATTTGCCACAGAGTGACACGTGCAGGGGTTAAACCCCTTGCGTGTGTTATGAACGAGATAAAGGTTGCCCTGTTTTGTTACAGAAGTTAATTGGGACGGCAGAATTAATGGGGTGCAGTTTTCACAAAGGAGTTGCATATCTCCGACCCTACCCGCGAAGGTCTAACCTGCCACCAACGCGAGAGGAAAAATGTTTATCGAATCCACGAATTAATTTCTTAAGAAGTGGTGCTTAGCCTGGGGCGATTTGGAGCAAGGTGCTTTCTGGGGTCCACCCACAAACACACACTCAGCACCACCTGTCCAAAGAGAGAAAGAAAAAGCTAGTCAGACCCTAACTGTGAGTGGTAACAAATTCCTGTGGTGTTTTTTAAAACATAAGATGTGCATAGTGCTGGATTTGAAGGCCTTCTGGGCTGGGTTGCCATGCATCTTCTGGTCCATCCCTAGAGGCGACACTATCAGTAAGAGCTAAACTGCATGTGCTCGAAATTACTGTTTTGTTTTTGCACTGAAAACAGGTTCCTGTACAACCCTTGACTCAAGGTAAACTCTTGGGTTGATGAACTTTTTGAATCTTATGTTGGGATCAAGATTATAGCATTTGTTAGTTTAGCTGGCTTTTACTTTTTGTTGTTGTTGTTGTTGTTGTCTGTTTTCCCTGTTGAGCTGTAAACAGAATATGTATGCGGGAGGAGAGAAGTGTTTACCTTCCAGCTCCAGAAGCAATAAATCTACATGCAGATTTCCCCCCCCCCCTTCCCAAAGTTGTTATGGTCAGTTCCAATTTCAAAGCAGTGTCATTTGTGCAAGGGTTAGGGGGTGTGAGTCCTCTGCTGTCTTTATAGGACTTAGTGTTTGCTTCTTCCTTTTGCTTTTGGTAGTCAAGGTGCTAATTCAAGACGGGTGAATTCTTTCTGTAACTCTGCTGCTTGTTAAGTTGGAATAGCTGCACTGAGATGTTGATATTACTGTAATGTATATTTCTTTTTACTGTAATTGTGAGATGATATGGCCTACTGAACAAAGTACAACTTTCTTAATTATACTTTTTTTTTAAAAAGGCTGTTTTTAAAACCTGAAGTGAATTTTTCTGTAAAATTAATAACTTTTCCAGTGTTCGTACAAGTTTTATTTTCACAGGACCACATCTGACCTTGATTTCATTTGCAGTTTTTGTCTGTTTTTCTCACAGAGAAAAGCTTGTTGTTGTTATAGCTTGTTTAAAAAGATTTATACACTGCTTTTCAACAGTATTTTCAGGTAGTTGATCAAGTCTACTAAAAAATATAAATGTCTAATTACTTTAAAAGTCTGGACAAATAAAAATGTATTATCTGAAGCAAAACATTCACAATACTGACTTCTCTGGAAAGGAAATTTCCACATTTGAAAAGGTCTTCTGCATGGAAAAAAGAGTTCAAATATGACCCAAGGAATATTTGGCGATATACAGGATTCAGGATTCTTTAGGTATGTAGGTCTGAAGCTGTGTAAAGATTTATTGGAAGCCCTTAAATTTTGTACAGAAGACTAGGAGTCAGTGAAGGACACCATCATAATCTTTTTAATACACTTTTGTTTATACAAGCCTTAGATCAAATCTGTTGATGCTTTGTTTCTAATGTTTATTTTCACACTGTAAAATATGTGAATTTTAATTTCTGTAATTCATATGGTTATTTTGCTTTTTTTTAAATCCTACTTTGGGATAATTTTTAATGATGAAAAGTAAATATTTTTTGTAACAAAACAATTGGTCACATTTAGTAAATTTGTAGCAGTATTCTAAAACAGCAATATCTATATGTATCTATCTATAGAGTATTCATCTATAGGCTTAGGTAAGCTTAGGTAAGAAAAAAAATATTTAGACAGACTCTGGCAGGGATAGGCAAACTTTTTGGGCCCAGGTCATATTTGGAATTATAACAGCATGTGGGTGCATTCACAAAATGGCTACCATGGAATACTTGCCTATTTACAAAATGGCTGCCACTCTGAGCATAGTCAGTCACAAATTGCCAATATACTGAAAGTCCAGCAAGCCCTACCATTCTGTTGGAACCTTTGTGGATCCCAAAGGCATTGCTGCAAATAAATAAAATGCTGGAGGCTGATGATTTATTTTGCAGCATGGCAGCTTCCTGTTTATGTTTTTTTTAATTAATTTTTTTCAAATGTAGCTGGACAATCAGAATTAAATAAAAAATGGGCAAGCTTTCAAATTCTCCACAACTCTTCATCAGACCAATTGTAGGGAAAAAAGGAAGTCTAGAAATTTATACAAGAAGTTTAAGCTATGAAGTGTGAAATTTAAAGTCATTCCCAAAATGAAGGCTATGGACTGAATATAGGTATAGATTTAGTATCAGATTACACTCAGCATTAGGGATAGTTTATACAAGAAGTTTAAGCTATGAAGTGTGAAATTTAAAGTCATTCCCAAAATGAAGGCTATGGACTGAATATAGGTATAGATTTAGTATCAGATTACACTCAGCATTAGGGATAGAAGAAATAGTTGTACCTATGAGCACTGAAAATAAAAATACGTTCATCCCCAGAAATAGCTGATGCACATAAACATCTGCCTCGTGTCCCAGATACTGGGACATCTAAAACAATACAGTTC